CTAGCGCAGGGAAATCTGGATCTTGCGCACGCAGGGCCGGATACTACTAGATGCCAATCAATTTTGAAGAGATGAACCGGAACCCAGGTCAAGACGGAAAAGGTCAGGTTAGGCTGCACCTTTGGGAGCCTGTGTCCTGGAGGCTCCACCCAGGAGTGTCGGGCTGACCAATAGCATTCGCTGTAGTTGGGAAATACTTTTTTTGGCCTATAGGAGGCAGAACGTGTTGCTCCGCTTGACCTATCCGGAATAGAATTTCAAGATGCCTCAGGATTAGAACTCCTAGGGTTTCGGGGAGCCAAAAGATCCCTGAAAACCTTGCGCACCCCGCCCCCGCCCCCGCCCCCAGTTAAATGCCATTTTAAAGTGCTTCAGCGGTTTGTAGTTGTTGTTGCTGGGTTTGTTTGTTTGTTTATTTTTTTTTCTGAGTTTAGGGAATGGGTTCCTAGGTTAGCGGGGTCTGATGTGAGACGTGAAGTACTCACGCCTGAGACAATGCATGTTTTTGTGCAGCCGGAAATCCCTCATTCCGGAGGCTGAGGTGAAGAGAATCTTGAGTTTGAGGTCAAGATGAGCTGCAGGACGACACATGGTCTCAAAAACAACAAAACAGTTCTGGTCCCGAGAGGGCTAAGTAAATAAAGGCTCTCATTTCCTAGCCTGATGACCTGAGTTCGATCTTGTTCCTACATGGTGACACGCTGTGGCACATGCATAGACATAAATAAATATAATAAAAATTTAAAAAGAAAAAAAAAGCTGCAAAAATAAAATACTTTGTTTTTTGTTTGTTTGTTTGTTTGTTTGATAAAGGTTCTCTTGTATGCTGTGCTTCCTGGACTCGCTAATGTAGTCCAGTGCCTCCAGTTCCCAAGTACTGGGATCACCTTCATGCACCATAACGAGTAGCTTTCTGCCATGCCTAGAGCCGAATGCAGCCAGAGCTTTCTGCTTGCCAGACAAGCAATCCGCCAACTGAACTACGTTCTTGCTCTCGTCCTCTAAACCAGCGGTTTCAATGCGTGGGTCGTGACCCCGGGGGTCGAATGACTCAGACATCCTATAAATCAGATATTAACATTACGACTCACAACAGTAGCAAAATTACAATTATGAACTAGCATCAAAATATTTTTATGGTGGTGGGGTCACCACAACATGAAGAACTGTATTAAATGGTCTCAGCATTAGGAAGGTTAAGAACCACTGCCCTAAACTAAATGGAAAATACCCTTCTCCAGCTTTAGCAGGGTGGTTTTTTTTTTTTTTTTTTTTTTTTTTTTTTTTGGTTTTCTGTGTAGTCCTGAAACCAGCTCTGTAGACCAGGCAGGCTCAAGAGACCTGCCTGCTTCTACCTCCGGAGTCTAGGATTAAAGGGGTGTGCCACCATTGCCTCTCCAAAAACCGCTTTAAAAACTGTAAAGTGGGCTTCGGGTTTGTGGCGCACGCCTTTAATCCCAGCGCTCGGGAGGCAGAGGCAGGCGGATCTCTGTGGGTTCAAGGCCAGCCTGGTCTCCAGAGCGAGTGCCAGGATAGGCTCCAAAGCTACACAGAGAAACCCTGTCTCGAAAACCCAAAAAACCAAACCAAAACAAAAACAGTAAAGTGAACATTTGTATAGATGCTTCCTGAATATCAAGGGCTATACTATAGATTATTTAAAATTTATTTTTATTTTATGTGTATGGGTCTTCTACCAGCATATATATCTGGTACCACATGTATGTACTGCTTTAAGGCTGCCAGGAGAGAGCACTGAATCACCTACAGCTGACCCACAGTGTGGATGTTGGAAATCAAGCCCGAGTCTTCTGGAAGAGCAGCAAATACTCTTAAAGGCAGAGCAATTTTTCCAGCCCCCTTGCCTCTTTTTAACTTAATTTTTGAGTGTGTGTGTGTGAATTCATACAGGAGTACTATTTTTGAGTCATTTCTATCCCTTGCTCTCTCCCTCTAACTCCTCTTGTGTCTTCCTCAAATTTATGACCCCTTCTTTAATTGTTACTTGTGTATCTTTATCTGTATGTAAAAAAAATAGTCTGCTGATTCCGTTTAGTGTTGCTTTCATGTTTATTTATGTAGGACTGATCCCTAGGTTTGGAAACTACTTGTGGCTGCTTTTTGCTCTTTCAGCAGCCAGTCACTGCCTGTAGCTCTTCATCTAGGGCTAGGGCCTTGTGAGATTTCCCTCATCCACATTGGTAGGTCAACTGGTGCTGTCACTGTGCATGCCTTGTTAAGGTGACCATAAATTTGAGATTTCATGGTATAACTTATTTTGTCATATGGAGCATAGTCTTTCGAAGCAGATGTCCTGGTACTGTGGCTCGTAATTGCTTTCTTTTTTGTAAATATCTCTTTTTTATTCATTTATTTTTACATTCCAATCCCAGTTCCCCCTCCCTCCTCTCCTTCCAGTCCCTCCTCTCCATATGAAGTTGAGTATTGCTCTTTCAAGGTCTCTGGTTTTTGTTTTGTTTTTTTCTTTTTTGAGACAGTGTTTCACCATGTGTCACTAGCTGGCTTGGAACTCATTATGTGATTAGGCTATACATATCTGTCTACCTCTGAATCCTGAGTGCTGGGATTAATGGTATGGACCAATTGCTTAGCTGGTTCTCAGATTCTTTCTGCCTCCTCTTCCATGTTCCCTGGGCTTTTGTTGTAGGAGTTGTATTGTAGATCAATACAACTTGTATCAATTGGAGTTGAACACTGTCTGCTGCAAAGAGAAGCATCTTTGATAAGGGGTAAGAGCTACATTTATCCATGGATATAAAGGTAAGTATTTAGAATGCAGCCAGAAGTTACACTGTTATAGGAAGGTGGCTGTCCTCTACAGTCCATTAGCCATGGTTAGGTGGCTAGGCTTACAATAATACACATGGATTTCCTCATATTAAGTGCAATTACACAGTTGTTGGTTGCTACCAAGATACAAATGCCATTGTTGTACCCTTTTAGGATATCTTGCCATGTTGGTCTCTGTTGTGGCTCATAGGCTTTACAGCTGGTTAGAACTATTTTCTCCATTGGCATCTTGTAAAGCACTTTTGGAGCTAGTCCTTAAGGAGGAGGCTTCCAGGTCAGTTCCAGCCACAACCAGGCTCATTTTGTTTTTTCCTCTTACCGTGTGGATGTGTGTATGCCAAGGACTCAACATAGCTCATATATAAAGATACTCTAATACTCAAGTTTTTAAAATATAATTTAATTTAATTCTTAAATCCAACATTGTTACAAAAACTTTGTACTTAGCTAAAACCAAAACAAAAATCACAACATTTTTAAATGATCAGAAACATTATAAAGTAACATCGTCAATAGGACAAAGACTAACAACTATTTACAGAAAAGATAATTTTCTATAAACTTAAGTAAGCTCATTACATATGATAGGAATGTCCTTACTGAATATAATTCAATTGAACTTAAATATCCAATAGGAACTGTTAAGGAAAGTAAAATGCATTAGATGTGTCAAAGACCCCAAATTTCTCATTTGAGATACTGTTTTCATCAACCATCCAAAAGAAGAAACATAAAATTACTGAAGAACTTAATAAATATTGTTGATATCAAATCCAATATTGTAAGGCTTATATCTAAACACTAGTAACAAAGAAAAACATATATTTGGGATATTCTAGTTATTCTAGAAATATGGTCTTATGACTAATTATTGTAACATTAGATGACCTCTAGGACAGGGGAACTACATTAAAATACACAAAAAAATACCAAGAGACTTGGCTCTCATGGAGAGCAAAAGAAAAAACACCACCACCAGAGTTAAATTAAAATAAGCTTCTAAACAAACACCCTCACCAAACACCTCCATCATTATATACTACTTAATTATTTAAAAAAAAAAAAGAACATGATCACTGGCTTCCCTTGCTAAGTTTGCTTCATAAGTAACAGCATCTGTGAGGGGCAAAATTTGCTATCCTCCCAGGCAAGGCAAAGGCTCCATAACGAAAGGGCAATGGGGGGGGGGCTAAGCCAACACAAATAGCACATGTTAGTGATAAAGCTCATAAGATAAAAGAATTTCACTATTAATTACTAGTTAATTAAACTAATTAAGCTAGGGGAAGGGTGAATGGTAGGGTGGAGTTTTAAGGCAATATGCTGGAGTAAAACAGAAAGTTGGGATAAAACTAGGATTTCAAGTATGAAACTACCTGAGGGTGACTTCTGTATAAAACAGGGCAGAGGCAATCATTTCAAAGTCCAAAACTGGGCGATTTTAAAACAGCAAGTGATCTGGTAGCAATGATGTGTTTTTCAGACTTTCTAGCTAACGACCTATCCAATATTCTACATTGTGCCCTTTCAAAAACCAAGAGTGCTTTTCTAACCTTGTAGGTTGCAGAAAGGCACACAGAGTGACTTTTGGAAGTCTTTTACTAGAGGGGCTTCAGGATTTTGCAGGGTAGTTCATTCATAGAACAATCTCCTCCTGGCTTTGCACGGGGCTCGTAGAGAGCGTGAAGGGCGTGTAGGGCATGCAGGGCGCTGCCCTTGGGGACTTGGAGGAGGAGATGGGGGCAGAGGCTGCAGTGGTGAGGTGGGGAAAGATCCCAGCAGGTAGCTGTCCAAGTCCCAGATGTTTCTGGCTGCATTAGAGGAGAGCACCGGAAGCTGTGGTTCGAGGTTGTAGTCCGGGGTCCAAGGGCTGGACATCCCGTTGGTGTTGGAAAAAAGCTCAGAGGCCTCACCAGGTGGAGCACCTATCCAGGGTGTCATGAATCCAGAGTTCTGGTCCTCATCACAGGCGTCCTCTTGATAGGAGATCTCTAGGATGAACTCAGCAGGGAGGACCACAAGTTGGTCCTGGGGCATCTGCAGGAGAGCAGCTTCCTGTGGGCTGGTGGACGAGATCTCAGGCTGTCCAAGAGGGGCAGACAACGGGGGACCCTCGGGGACCAGGATTAAGGTGTGTCCAGGGAGCTGCACTTGCATTACCGAGATGGGCTGGGACTCCAGCAGCAGGTCAAGCAGGACCACCACAGATATGAGCACCTCGCTGGCGGCCGGGGCGGGCACTTGCACGTTGGGCAGCCCAGGGGGCTCATTCCGGGCAGGCTCATGGAGGCAGAGGCGCTTGGCAGAGCTGGGTCCTTGTGGCTGTGATGCCCAGCAGGGCGCGGATTCCGGGCTGGGGCTACGAGGTCGCTTCTGCTGCATGTTGTCCAAGTGGCAGGATGACGAGGCACAGGGTGCTGAGCAAACAGTTGAGATGGTGCAGGCGGAGCGCGTGCAGTCCTGAGCTCTGGAGTCTTGCACTTTCCTCAAGTCAGGCCGGATACACCCTGGATGTCAATTATATCGTCAATGATCCACCGGAAAATTAAGTTGTGAAATCTCACACTAGGCTCCGCCCCTTGACCCTCCATTGCAAAGGCTCCGGCCAGAAGCCTTGTGTCTGGGCTTTCCAATACCCCAGGCTGAACATAAGAAATACTCTTTTGGCTTAGAGGGGGGGAGAATGAGTTTCCTAGCTGCTCTGTTTTTGTTTGTTTGTTTGTTGTTTAGTTTTTTGTTTGCCAAAACAGGGTTTCTCAGTGTAGCCTTTGGAGCCTGTCCTGACCTAACTCTGTTGCCCATGCTCACAGAGATCTGCCTGCCTCTGCCCCCGGATTGCCGGGAATGAAGGGGTGGAACACTGCTGGACATTTTTTTTTCTTCTGACATACTGGTAATAGGATTTTAAGATGGCTGATCTTTAGAATTCCTGTGTTTGGGGATTCAAAAAATTCCACCAAAAATTGGCCAACCTGGTCTACCTAGCTTCAGTACAACCGGGACTACAAACAGAGACACTATTTCTTCCCTCTCAAGAAAAAATTTAAAAAAGCCGAAAAGTGTGCTCTGTCCACTCTCCAAACTTTCAGTTCTATTAACTTACTTGTTGATCACATTATACATTATTTTCATTTTTCACAGACTATTTCACTTTGTACGTGTGTACTGTGGTTGATAGTATGAGTATGTGATCCCAGCATTATGAGAAGGTAATGGAAGTGAGTCTCAAGTTTGAGACCAGCCTGTGTCACCAATTTCAAACAAGCTTGGGCTGGATAGATGGCTCAGTGGTTAAGAGCATAAGCTGCTCTTACAGAGAGAATCTGGGTTCAGATCCCAGTAATGAAATGGCGGCTACAGTCATCTATAATTCTAGTTCCAGGGAATCTGACGCCCCCTTCTGGCTTCCACTGGCAGCAGGCAAGTGCATGAAGTACAGACAAACATGCCGGCAAAACATCCATACACAGAAAATAAAAAATACAGCCTTTTCAAACACACAACCAAAATGAATAAATGGGGAAGGAATAGTTTTCTGAGTGCTTGAATTCCATGAGTGTACCACTAGACCGGATTTACAGCTTGCTGTGGATCAAAAGCAGTACTGGGTGCCAGCATCTCAACATCAGCTGGAATATATCTCCTACCCTCTAGTTAGCGAATTCTACAGGTCTTTCTCCAGCTCTGTGAAAAGTGCCCTTAAAACAATAGAGTGAATCATTCAGGTAGAGATTTCCTGAATATTAAGGGCTGTAATAAAATTGTAAAAGATAGCACCAGTGTGGTGACTGTCACCTATGACGCAAGGCCCCATAGGTGTGGTGGGAAAGCCAACACAAACTAGGACAGATTAGTGGTATAGCTCATAAGATAAAAGAATATCACTAATGATTACTAGTTGGGAAGGGAAATGGTAGGGTGGAGTTTAAGGCAAAGTGCTGTAGTTAAATTGAAAGTTGGGAGAAAATTCAGGATTGCACAAGACATTGTTGGTGTACGCCTTTAATCCCAGCACTCGCGAGGCAGAGGCAGGCAGATTTCTGTGAGTTTGAGTCCAGCCTGGTCTAGAGCAAGTGTGAGGATAGGCTCCAAAGCTACACAGAGAAACCCTGTCTCAAAAAGGAAAAAAAAAAAGAAAGAAAGAAAGAAAGAAAGAAAGAAAGAAAGAAAGAAACTGGATTGCAAGGATGAAACTCTCCTAGGGTGACTTCTGTATAGAAGAGGGCATAAGCACTTAATTCAAAGTCCAAAAGTAGGTGAACTTCAAACAGGACGTGATACGGTAGCAATGACCTGTCGTTCAGGATTTCTAGTCAACCACAGATCCAATATTCTACGGTTCTGTCATTTCAAAAAACAAGAGTGCTTTACTAACCTTGTAGGCTGCAGAACGGCACACACAGTGGCTTTTCAAAGTCTTTTACTTGAGGAGCTTCAGGATTTGTGCGGGGTAGTTCATTCATAGAACAATCTCCTACTGGCTTGCACTGGTCCTGTGGAGAGCGTGAAGGGCCTGCAGGGTGCTGTTCTTGGAGACTTGGAGGAGGAGATGGAGGCAGAGGTGAGGTGGGGAAAGGTCCCAGCAGGTAGCTGTCCAAGTCCCAGATGTTTCTAGCTGCATTAGAGGAGAGCACTGGAAGCTGTGGTTCGAGGTTGTAGTCCGGGGTCCAAGGGCTGGACATCCTCTTGGTGCTGGAAATAAGCTCAGAGGCCTCACCAGGTGGAGCACCTATCCAGGGTGACATGAATCCAGAGTTCTGGTCCTCATCACAGGCGTCCTCTTGATAGGAGATCTCTAGGATGAACTCAGCAGGGAGGAGGACAAGTTGTTCCTGGTGCGTCTGCAGGAGAGCGGCTTCCTGTGGGCTGGTGGACGAGATCTCAGGCTGTCCGAGAAGAGCAGACAACAGGAGACCCTCGGGGACCAGGATTAAGGTGACTCCAGGGAGCTCCACTTGCGTTACCGAGGTGGGCTGGGGTTCCAGCAGCAGGTCAAGCAGAAACAACATGGAGATGATCTCCTCACGGGCGGCCGGGGTGGGCGCTTCCAAGTTGGGTGGAATTGGGGGCCCATTTCGGGCGGGCTCGTGGAGGCGGAGGTGCTTGGCAGAGCTGGGTCCTTGTGGCTGTGGTTCCCAGCAGGGCGCCGGTTCGGGGCTGGGGCTACGAGGTCGCTTCTGCTGCATGTTGTCCAAGTGGCAGGATGACGAGGCACAGAGTGCTGAGCAAACAGTTGAGATGGTGCAGGCAGAGCACGTGCAGTCCAGGGACCTGGAGTCTTGCTCTTTCCTCAAGTCAGGCCGGATACACCCTGGATGTCAATTATTTCGTCAGTGATGCACCGGAAATTGAAGTTGTGAAATCTCACACTAGGCTCCGCCCCTTGACCCTCCATTGCAAATGCTCCGACTAGAAGCCTCGTGGCTGGGCTCTCCAATACCCCAGGCTGAACATAAGAAATACTGTTTTGTCCTAAGGGGGGAGAATGCTCTGTTTTTTTTTTGTTGTTGTTTTTGTGTTTTTTTTTTTTGTTTTGTTTTTTTGTTTTTTGTTTTTTGTTTTTTGTTTGTCAAAACAGGGTTTCTCAGTGTAGCCTTTGGAGCCTGTCCTGACATCTCTTTTTTGACCATGCTCACAGAGATCTGCTTTCCTCTGCCTCCGGGTTTCGGGGAATAAAGATATGTAACACTACTGACTTTTTTTTTTTTTTTTTTTTTTTTTTTTTTTTTTTAAAAACAGGGGAATGGAGGATTTTAAGATGGCTGATCTTTAGAATTCCTGTTTTTGAGGATTCAAAAAACTCCACCCAAACTTGGCCAGCCTATTTCTCTCTTCCCTCTCAAAAATATAAAATAAAATAAAAAAAGCAGAAAAGTCTGCCCTGTCCACTCTCGAAATTTTCAATTTTATTAACTTACTTGTTGATCAAATTATACATTATTTTCAGTTTTCGCAGACTATGTCACTGTGTATGTGGTATGTACTGTGGTTGATAGAATGAGTATGTGATCCCAGCATTATGAGACGGTAATGGAAGTGAGTCTAGGGCTTGAGACCAGCCTGGGTCACCATTTTCAAACAAGCATGGGCTGGATAGATGGCTCAGTGGTTAAGAGCATAAGGTGTTCTTAAGAGGATCTGGGTTCAGATCCTAGCAATGAAATGCCGGCTAAGTCATCTGTAATTCTAGTTCCAGGGCATCTGACGTCCCCTTCTGGCTTCCACTGGCAGCAGGCAAGTACATGGTTTACAGACAAACATGCCAGCAAAACATCCATACACAGAAAATAAAAAATAAATACAACCTTTTCAAACACACAACCAAAATGAATAAATGGGGAAGGAATAGTTTTCTGAGTGCGTGAATTCCATGAGTGTACCACTAGACCGGATTTACAGCTTGCTGTGGATCAAACCCGGACTGGGTGCCTGCATCTCAGCATCAGCTGGAATATATCTCCAACATTCTGGTTAGCGAATTGTACAGGTCATTCTCCAGCTCTGTGAAAATTGCCTTTAAAATACTACAGTGAATCAAACAGGTAGAGATTTCCTGAAGATTAAGGGCTGTAATAAAATTGTAAAAGGTAGCCCCAGTGTGGTGATGGTCACCTATAATCCTTACTGGGGACACGCAGAAGCAGGAATTCCACCATGTCTTGTGAGTTATTGGTCAGTGTTAGTTGAATGAGGCACCATTTAAAAGGAAAAGGATATTTAGGCTGGAGACATAAATACATTTTAAAAATCAATTTAAGATAGTCTGGCAGTGGTGGCTAATGCTTTTTGTTTGTTTTGTTTTGTTTTTTGAGGCAGGGTTTCCTGGCTGTCCTGTAATTCACTCTATAGACCAGACTGTTCTTGAATTCAGAGATCTGCCTGCCTCTGCCTCCTGAGTGCTGGGATTAAAGGTGTGGGATATGGCTCCTTTTAGTCCCAGCACTCAAGAGACAGAGGCTTGAGTATTTCTGTGACTTCCAGATTGGCCTGGCTTTACTACACAGAGAGTTGCGGGACTGCCACAGGCTGTACAGAGAACCATGTCTCCACAAATAATGAGAAACAGAGAGAAGGGGGATGGGGGGGAGGCTGTTAGGGTGGCATACTTCATAAATCCCAGCACTTGGGAGGCAGAGGCAAGATTTTTGTGTGTTGAGATAGGCCTGGCCTACTTAGTGAGTTCCAGTAGAGATCTAGGACTACATAGAAACACTCTTTCTCAAAACAAGATGAAGAAAGATGAAAGTATCACTGAGCGCATTAAAAATTGAAACCATATCAACAAAATGTAATAGTTCATTCTTACGTTCTACATTATATTTTAAATAATTAGTTAAATTTTCTTTGGAAACAATTTCACCACTATGAAACTTGGTATGTGGAGGAAGATGACCTTGAACTGAAAGACCCCCGAAGAGGTACTTTCGTAGAAGGAGACCCGCACCCAGGAATCAGCGAGTCCACGAACTTGGATGCAAAAAAGCAAGAGGCTTTATTAGTGGTGTGGGTACCCGGGGACTTAGCTTCTGTTAGGCCAAGCCCCGAGCCCAGGAAGGGGGGTCCTTATATAGGAGAAAAAGCACAGTACAGAAGCGAAAAGCATCAAATCAGCATTTTCTCAAGGTCTAGTAGTCAGGCAAAACAGCCTTGGCTTCATTTATCTTCTGCCATGTCCAGATGCTCATGGGATGCTGGCTGGTTCCGGCTTGCATTCTGGGCCCAGCGGGGCCCCCCCTGGGCAGCAGGGGGGGAGGGGGGGGCGGCGGGGGGGGGGGGGGGGGGGGGGGGGGGGGGGGACAGTAGCGGTGGCCGCTGGCGGTGGCTGCTGGCAGGAAGTTGAAAGAAGACTTTCGCGCGACCCGCCAGCCTCTGACCGGAGGAGGAGGCAAACTTAAGAGAAAAAGCTAAGGGGCAGGGGTCTTTCAGAACCTCTGATACTCCTGCCTCCACCTCCAGAGTTATGGGGATCACAGGAGGGCCCTGCCCTATCCAGGTAATTTTGTGCTGAGTACTGAACACAGGGTTTATTGCAGCTGAAGTATATCTCCATCCCACACAGAAGCGGTTTTTTGTTTGTTTGTTTGTTTGTTTTTTAAAAGATAATTTGAACCTCAAAACACATAGAGCTCTGAATGGTGTTAAGTGTCTAGTTTTAGCTACGGTGGGAATAAGATGTAGACATGTATTTTAATTTAAAGTAAAACACACCATATGTCTGAGAAACTCCTGGGATGTGTTCACTGGTACTTTGTGTGCCTTTTGAATTAACATGCAATGTCTCCCCCACCCTCTCTATCCTTCTTTCTCCTCCTTCTCCTCTTCCTCTTCTTCTTTCTTCCGTCTTTTATTAACTACTGGGGATCAAACCCAGAGACCTTTACATCCTAGACACCTGGTCTACCACTGAATCGCATCTCCAGCCCCTTTGACTTCTCCTCCACTTTTCAAAAATATTGTTTTGGCAGTTATCATCCTTGCCAGCTCTGCATGCTTCCAAGTCACTGCTGTATCATCTCAGTTTTCTTTCAGTGTTTTTTTATTTTGAGACAAGGTCTAGGTAAATTACCAGACTGTTTGCAATTGCTTTATAGAAAGGTTGGCCTTTTACTTTTGATTCTTTGGCCTCATTCTCCAAAGACTGAGGTCTTTGCAGCTTGTACCACAGGACTTAGCTGTCAGGCTTGGCTCCTTTAATCAATTTATGCTCCCTTCTACTCCATTAGCTGTTGACTCTGTCATTACCTCAACTTGAAATTCTTCCTTAATCACAATTTCAAACAATCCATTCTCAGAGCACTCTCTCCTAGCTTTTCAACTCAGTCTCTCAAATATAAAGGCTCTATCATAAGTCTTTCACACTCCATGAAAGGCTGATTTTTCCTGTTACTTTTCATTAAAAACTGACGTTATTGGCTCCTAACTCTCCTTACCTGTGAGGTCAGGAGCCTGTATAGATGTTGCAATCACGTGAATGCAATTGACTACTTGATTTCTTTGCAAAGAATCTCAGTTAACTGAGCTAAGACTTAAGTCACAAAAAGGCATTTTGATCTTTGAAAAAATATGGCATTCATTGTCTGCAATATCCAGCTACTTTCAATTACCTTTAGCAAGGGTGGTTTTTATGCTACAAAGAGGGAAGTATTTTCTGTCCCAATGTAGCCTACCTTTGAAGATACTTACTTATCCCAGTTTACTGCAGATCTATTGCAGAGAAATTGAAAAAACTGAGTTGTCCTGACTTTTCTGTGGCTGTGATGAAATACCCTAACAAAATCAGCTTCAGGGAGATAGAGTTGATTTTGGCTTGCCATAGTTCAAGGCTACAGTATATCATGGTGGGAATGGTGAGGCACCTGGATTCTTGAAGCTGTTGATCACACTGAATTCAGTCAGAAATGTGCTGATACATTGCTTGTACACACCTCAGGACCTCGGTGGTTAGGTAGTGATAAGATCCAGCCTCTGATCTTCAGACAAGCTTTATTTGTACTAGCAAGATATCATCACATAGAAAGAACAGAGCAATGGATGTTTGTGCTCAGGCCCCTTTCTCCTTTCCATGTAGTTTAGGATTTCTACCTAGGAAATGGTGTCACCTGCAATGGGCAGGTCTTCTCATTTCAATGAATGTGATCAAGGTAGTTTCTCACAGACCTGTTCAGAAGTGCATTCCTCAGGTGATTCTAGGTCTCATCAAGGTGACAATTGAGACTAGCCATTACAATATCCATTAAGTGATGAATGGATGGTGAATGTGTGGTACCTACACATGTAGAAATTTTGTCAGCCATAAGGAAAAATGAAGTAATGAATTGTGAAGAAAATTTACAAGACAGACAAAATATAACTATTAAGTGAGATAACCTAAGTTTATATACAGGAGCACCCTGTTTTTTTCTCATAAGGAGAAATTAGTTTGTAATTTTTACATATGAATTTAAGTGAAGGTAAGATGTGTGGCAGTCAGAGAACAAGGAAGGGACCCAGGGAAGAAGAAATGGACTTTAAAAGAGAGGCAGGTTGGGAACAGAACACATGTTGATATGACAATTGGAGGTGAAACCCTTAGCTTGCTTGGGAGCATTTACACCAAAAAGGGGACAGACAGAGGAGGGAGTGGAGGCACCGGGATTGGTCAACCACAACTATCTATGAAAATATCACCAGGAGACGTGTTACTTCT